TGACCCCACGGGGCAACAGTTCTTAACAGGAATAGATGACAGTCATCTAGTTTCTGTGAAAGATTGATTGGAAACCAAGTAAGAACAGCTGGGCACTAATGAAACCCCTAAGAAAAGAGGAGAGTGCTCCTACATTTTCCTCAGAGAAAGCTGTATTAGAATGTTTCTGTACAAAAAAAGATTCCAAGGAAGTACAGCAACATCTCTATGGAGGGAAAGGAAACTAAGAAAGGACATGGGAGGGTATGTGTAATTGAATCCTGGTAGGCAGATAGATTGGATTACTAGGTTTGTATAAGAAAGTGCTGGGAGAAGCCCAGGAACGGTTTTAGAAGGCAAACCAAAATGAAGAGGGATCTACACTTTGAGAAGATGACAAAGCCTATGAAAAAAATGGGACGGTACAGAACTCTGTTAGACTCTACAGCACAAACTGAGCTGTTTATGTTAATATACCAGCCCCCAACAAAAACGCAGTCAGCCTAAGAAGGTGCTGGTTAAGTTAATGAAGCATTTTAAGAGAGGAAAAACAAATCTGGGCACCTGCAGGGCAACAACCAGTAACAAGGAAGAACCTGAAGAACAACAGCATTTAAAAGGAAGTACCCCACAGACAACTTGGATCAGCAATGCTCCATCACTTAGCAATTGGAATGAGTAGCAATGGATGTCAGTATCCCATTGCTCTGGCATTCCTGGCTACCAACCAGATAAGATAATGATGCATTCTTTATTCTTTCCTGAAGAAAGAGTTCTTGAAAGGTATTAAAAAAGTAATGTCCTTACCATTTACAACCCTCTTGCACTGCAGCATCTTTATGTCGATCAGCTCCTAAGAACAAAAACCAAAAATATATGTAAAGAAGTGGAAAAACTGAACAAATAAGAATCCATCAAAACAGAGTAAATATGATTTGGTCCTTTGAACTAAATGGATCTGCTTTTGAAAAATGGTGTAAGCAGAGAAAATATATATGGCAGCTTATAATCAAAAGTTAAACTCATATTATGAATAGAAACACTAAGTGTGTGTGTGTGTGTGTGTGTGTGTGTGTGCGCGCGCGCGTGCGTGCTCAAGGAAAATAGTACATTGTTCAACCTTTCTGCAACCTTGGAAAAAAAAAGTCACCATTTTTTACTTAAACCAGAAAGGGGTTGCACTCAAGTTTACTATAGGAATTAATGGGTATTCATCATCCTGTTACAATTCCTTTAAAAAAGGAGGCTACAGCTGATATGTTTGCACCAAGTGCATACCCTGTTTTCACTGCAGTTAGCCAAATCCTACTGAATCCTACACTTTGGTTGCTCTGTCCAAGAAGGGAGGGGAGGGGCTAGGTCTAGCTAGCACAAGAGGCTAAGTCTGAGCTACCGCAACCTGTTAACAGCTGAAATAAACATTCTTTTGGGCATGGACTCATGTACAGTTGGAGCCATTTCATTTGAATTATTATGCACTGACCAGCCAGGACAAATACAAATGCAGTAAAACCACTTCAACCTTAACACTGTTTTATCCATTGTTAAAGTTGGAGTAGCTTTACTTCATTTGGGCCTTGGCAGATGTTACATCTGTCATGGTCTATATGCAAATTTTGCATGGCAAACTGTAGGATTAAATGAATTTGTCCTGAGATAAAAATAGCAAATCTACTACAAAGTTGCTGGCTGAAATAGAAACTTTTGTGGTGTGGAGTATCCAACACTTCTGACATTTGACCTGTTACCCAGAGTATAACAGAGCATGGGCAGGTCCTCCATTATCTCTGAATGTACTACTCCCTGCCCCCAAGAGCAGTCAGCAGAGGCAATGGTAAGTCATGACTCTTCTCCTGGACAGTAAGAGCATGTACAGTTGCTCCAGCCTCTGCTGGAATGGGGGCCCATAGGGTGCAGATCTATTCTGGACTTGGAGAGAGTGCCTGGGGGAAAATAGGGACCAACAGTGCTGTGGTTGTGTAGTCCTGTCCCAGTGCAAGTGGTGGGTGGCAAGTGTCTGGCTGACCAGTGCTGTACTCCAAGATTGGCTGTCCTCAGGAATTCCCAGAGACAGGAACTACTGCAGGGCACACTGGGACACCAGTTTACCAGCTTCTCCAGCTTTTTCTGCACCCAGGGAAGCAAGTTCTTGAATGGCTGGCGTAGCACAATGCACATTTCCATTCCACAACAAAATTCTATAGTTCCTATGGTGCAACAAAAATAACCAGTGACCTCTGTATCATTCTCAGCTTGTCCACACATAACAATTAAAACGTAACAGCTGCAGCCCTTTTGAAATGGCTCCAAATATATGTGTGTCCATATGCTCTACTGCTAAACTACTCCTGGTATGTTTAGCAGTGTCACACTTCTAAATGAGTTGGGCTAACTCCAAGTATTAATTCAAGCAGTGACAATAAATGAGTATGGATGTCTTCACTGTAAAATATATATGTAGTTAGTGTGTTACTCTGAAGTCAGGCAAAAGGCAAGGTAGATTTGCACCTTATAGACTAGCTACAGCTGGCACATGTGCCACTCCTGCTAAAGCTCTTCCTGATTTGGCTCTGATATGCCTCCTGAAAACAGGCATGTAGGACAGTTGAGCTGGAGAAAAATGCTTTTGCCACCAGGTACCCCTGGCAGGTTTTTGTGGCATTCCAGTTGAGAACTACTGAGTTAGTATATGGTACAAATATATCCTGCCTTTTTCTTTCACCATAAAAGAATTTCTGTCTGGCCCCAAGTAAAAGATCACACATTCTGTACTACATGCAGTAAACCAGGTTAGCACCAACTTGACTAATTCACTCAGTTCTGTTGACATTTGTGTGTGTGATTGTTTATAAGGCTGTTTCTACTACAGATTTCTCTCAATTTATGTGGGTTCTGTATATGTAAATTTGCTCTTATGTGATGAGCATTTTTAGACCCATAATTCTTTATATGTTAGGTAAATTCGCTCTTATGTGATAGAAATAGGTGCCCCCCACCCCTCCCCACCCCAGCAGATAAGTCTGTGGGGGTAGGAGAAAGGGCTGTCAGGCCAGGGCCCCACTCACCCCAGCCCCTGCCGCAGCAGCCCCAGGAGTGGCTGGTACCAGCTGCCTGTAGCTGTTGAGATGCACTGTGTTCTGCCTGTCCCCTCACACCTGGGCTCTGTCTGTCCCCACTCACCCCAGCTCCTGGGCTATGTTGTGCTTGGGTGCAGTCAGGTGGTATCAGCTGCTCGCTGCAGCAGGGGCGGGGGTGAGTGCAGACAAGCAGCAGCCTGCTTTCATCCCGTATGCAGGTCCAAGGATATGCGCCCCCTGGGAAGAGCCCAGCACAGCCCCCCAGCCCTCCTGGGGGACACAGAGCAGCAAGAGGTGTCCCCCCACCCCACTGACAGTTCCCTCTGCTTTGCTCCCTTGTGCAGCCCCAGGAGCAGCACCCCTCCCCCCATCCCTTCCCTAGTCCCAGCCTCACTCCATCACTGCCATGGGAACCTATCCCTACTCATTACTTTATACTTCAATTTATGCTCAATTTATGTGAATTTGAATTGTGTGTCGTTCTCTGGGAATGCATGTACCGCATAAATCAAGGGGAATCCGTACAAGAATCTCTTTCTAAAATTCCTTGTGTTATCACTTGCTGGAGCCCCATATTTTGGGGCTGTAGCAGGTTTGACAGTTTCTAAGCATATTAATTATAAACAATTACTCCATAAATGGCCACCTAAATTGTTTTATCTACACTTCTCTTCTCATAACTGAGACCCTCAAATAAGGAGTTAAAACAAAAGTGCTGTAACTTTTACTACATTTCTAATATAATTAATTCCTATGACTTTCCTACTACCAAATTTTAAATTATAGAAAGCCACTAGTACTTAGGAAGCACAGAGGAGCTGGTTTCTTCTATATTAAAAAAAAAAATCTCATTAAAATCATTGTTGTTCTTTTTCCAACTTTGTTCTGGAAGAACGCATATTTCTATTGTTCAGGTTACTGTTGACATGGAGAAATACTGCTATCAGCTGCACTATATCTACCCATTAATTCTCATAACTCATTTTCTTTGGCCCTTCAGTAGTTTATTACATCCAAGATCCTAAACTCCAGGAAGCACCGAGTGTAATGGCCACTTGAATTCAACTGATTAAATACATGCTCAAGGTAATGATTGATTTGCTTGACCTTATCTGCTAAAATTAATCAATGTCAAATGCTGTCTTAAAGCATAATCTGATGCATTTTTCCATCAATATCAGCACTGTGGAATAGGAAAGGAAGATGGAAAAAAGCAGTTTTTAAAGAGGCAGAGCTCTGAACTTAATGGGAATGCCAGGGAAGGTGGCAAAATAGACACAACATATTTAGCTGTAGGAGTACTTACAGCCATATTAGTGTGTTCCTATTGCCTGATGCAGTATGCAAGTTAGGGCATTTCTTGAAGACCTGCTTCTCTGGGATCAAACTGGAAGGTAGGGGGGAATCTGGCATAACCATATGGTTCATAATAGTAAAACAAATGGTAAGCGTATCACCATACTCCAGGTATATTCAGAGAAACACGACTGTACTAATTTCTTGGTAACTTTCAGGAGCTGGTACCCCTGCTCCTAGCTTTAGTTACACATTGCGTTATCAGTTACCATATCGCTGCTCACTAACATAAGCCTCTTAATTCTCATTAAGCACTTCTATTTTGCAGATCTAATATGACAGTTCTTACAATTTATGGTTTTTGACTGGCAATCTTTGTGACCAAGATTCTTGGGTTATGATGACATTCTGTTCCCAGATAAGCAATTAAAAAGCAGATCTGGGTTAACCTACACAGGGCTTAAGAAACATCCAGCATTTGATAAGGCTTTATTTTATGTGTTTTTGTTCTGTGGCCTTTTTTTTTCTCTTTCAGTTAAGGTATTCAGGCATCATCAGAAGCACTAGAATGATAAAGGCAAAGATTTTTTGGGGTGATATCTTTTATGAAACCAACTGCATAGCTGCAATAGAGTCAGACAAGGTTTTGAATGTAAGGTATTTTCTTCATGTCTGAGGAAGAAAGCAAGCACAGCAGATTGTTAAGAACAGCAGACAGAGCTGTGAAATTGGTTGGGGGAAAAATTCCCAGAGGCAATAGACAAACATTTAGTAGAGGAGGAGAAGGTAGATTGCTGGGAAATCAAGACCTCTCAAAAGGGAGCAGGGTCATTATCACCTGTAAAGTGTAGGAAAAATTCAGGAATCAAGTCGATTACAGTGTGTCATGAATGTTCAGTCCTTGGTTCCTACTGTCTAGCCAGTTTACAAATTCTTGTTACCAAGCTCAACTTTTAAAGGTGTTTTGTAGATTTCCCTTGAGCATGATGAGAGTGAAGTCAGAAAGGAAGTGGCTGTTCTGTGAAAAATGTGCTCCTACAAACATGCCTCTCTCTGTCCTTTATATTTTTTCTGTGACAGTTCATTCTGGTGTTTAGTTGCTGTTTAGTTTCACCCATACAGTTATTATTTATGTATTTTCATAATCTGGATGGAACACACAGACTCACTTACCAACTTCCACCACAGGTGTAACAAATATCACCTCTTGATCAAACTTTATCAGGAATATTTCTACACTAACATCAACTTTCTAGACACCAGAATCCACATTCAAGATGGTGGTCTATAGCCACCAGCTCCAAAAACTCCCCAGACCACCATACTTATATCCATGAGACCTGCCATCATCCCAAAACATACCACAAAAGATGTAATCTACAGATAGGCCCTCAGCTACCACCGTGTCAGCTCTGAGAAGAATGCTCATGATGCTCACCTAGCCAGTCTAAAATCTGCCTATATATAACAAGAACACTCCAGTAGAAAAACAAGCTGTATCTTTAAATACCCAAATACACTCAAGTAACCTACCACAAGAAATGCCCCTTTCCCCCACCCCTGTGGCTGCACACTCCTGGTTGTCAACTACTATCCCACATTAGAGCCAATTAGAAGAATCATCAAACAACTACAGCCTATACTCAACAAAGATCAGACCTTGAGAGGTTTAACCCCAGACCCTTCCAATCCAGTCTTTCAAACAACCCCCTAACCTTGCCTGACTCATCAAGTGGGACACCACTTTTTATTAACAATAGATGTTTAAACTGTAGTAGCATTTCCAATGCTATAAATAACATCCCCCACAATAAATCCATCAGAATCTATAAATCCTACAAATGCCTTTCCCAAAATGTGATACACCTGATTCAATGAACTAAACTGTAATTACATAGGTGAAATTAAAAAGGAACTACACAGCAAAAATGAACACTTGCAGAAAAAAATATAAAGAACAGACACGCACATAAATCAGCAAGAGCTCATTTTTCACAGAACCACTCCTTTTCTGACCCTACCAAGGTCATGTTCAAGGACAATCTACGAAACACTTTTAAAAAGGCAAGCTTGGGAACAAAAATTCACGTGCTAGTTGGACACTAGGAATTAAGGACTGGGCTCCCTTTGGGAAACAGCAGCCCAGATCAGTGATCCATCGATGAAACATCCTACGGTAATTATGAAGCTTGAAGGCAAAAGCGACCTCTAGGTCAGGAGACTAATTCTCTTACTAAGATGTCAATGCAAAGGGAGTCCCCTTTCTCCCTCTCTTTCTTTTTAATAACTTTCTGGATCATCATACTGTCCTGGAGAGTGACGTAAGCCTTTTCACCAGAGAAATTATACAGTGTCCTGGAGCTCTCATTAGATGCTACAAGAAGCTAATATTTTCTACTTTTTTAGCAAAAGAACTGATTCAGCACCTTTGCTTAGAAGGGAAAAATGGCCTGGACCGCAGATCTGGGGTCAACTCCCAACTCCACAACAGGTTTTCAGTATGGCCTTGAGTAACTGCTTTAATTTGTCTCTGTTTCTCACCTCTAAAAGGGGAATAATTCTTTTCCATTAAGAAAAGTTTTTATTAGGTGGAAGTTAATGGGGGTGTTATGAAATTATATCCCATAAACAGAGGTTACCAGTAAGTAATACCAACAGGTGTAAAATGTAGACATACTGGTAGCAGCTATGGCTTCATCTGTAATTCTCAGAATAAATGAACTAAAACCACAATATTTTATTTCACCATCTGACAAAAAGTGATCATTTTGTCATGACCAACCTGAGCAGCATGTAAATAGCAACAAAATAAGACTATTTCTCCAAATAACCTGAGTCATTAATTCCCTTTAACATTTTAATGTGTGAAAGTGAAGAGCATAAAGTAACTATTGAACTCTTTGCCATAGGAGGACATGACTATGGAGTAACACACCAGTTTTGTTCAGTTTGTCTCCACATCATGAAAAAAGAGAGCCTACTCCATCAATTCAGCCTTCCATACCTCACAGTACACAATATCAGCACCGTAATCGAGAGCCAAAAGACGCATTGGTAAAGTTCCAATTCGAACCATTGGAGCCAAAATATTCTTTCCTCTGAAACAGAGTGGTGTTGTTTTCACAATCATTTCTATTATATGGCCTGAAATAGAAAACAGAACAAGTAAAAAAATAGAACTTAACTTTTTTCCCCTTCTATCCAATGCACATGAAGAATCAAGACTTTTCCCTATTCAGAATTCAGGAATTTATCTGCAGTTTAGTATGAAAAGTTAAAGTTATTGGGACACCTTTCTTTTTCAGAGAAACCTGATTTAAAGTGAGTAATCTCACCTTCTCATGAGTTTTTTTCCCCCTAGTATTTAACTGCACAGAGCATAGTGGCTTTTACAAACCATCTGTCTGAGAAATGCATACAATTTCACTCCCAGCCTTAGAAAAACTATTGTATATTACTCAAAAGTCTTCATAATAAATCATGATAAAACAACTATATGTAGTCTTGTCCCAAAAGTATAAACACAGCATACAAATGCTGCAAGTAAAGCAACATCATCACTTAGTAACTTATCTGAAAAATCTCTCTCCTGAAATAATCACAGAATTACAATAATTATACCATCATCTATGATAAGATTGCCCAGCACTAACTCTTCATGTGGAAATTTTTCAAAATTCTATACTTTGAAACCAGGGAACAGAGACTTCAAGCTTGATAAGGGTTGACACCTCTTTGTCTAGGATTGGGTAAAGATGGAACAGAAGAGTATGAGACCACCGAAATACACTCCTATCCAGAGCCTGAAATGGAACCCAAGTTCCCCAAGTCTCACTATTACTTCCTTGTCGACCAATAAACTAATTCCTTAAGTGAAATGTCTCAAACAGCTTTGGAGCTGCTTTACGTACAAGGTTGGAACCTACTACTATTGTCAGTTACTTGGCAGACAGCAGCAACTGCTGTCACATCTGACAACAGAGGTCTGTGGATCTGAAGCAGGGGTGGGCAAAATACAGCCTGTGGTCCACATCCGGCCTGCCTGGCACCTTCATCCAGTCCACAGCTCCCCCCAGTGAATTGTGTCCCACCCAGCCCCTCTGCCAGTGAGGGTGGGAGCGAGGCACCTACACCTAACCCCACGTATCTTATTATGCCTCACTCCCACCCTCGCCGACAAAAGGGCCAGCTCTGTTAGCACGAAGTGGGGCTGCTGCTGCAGGCTCCCCCAACATCCAGCTTCCTCCTGGCAGCAAGTAGGGAAGCTGGGGGCAGGGCTGCAGCTGGGCAGGAGCATGGGGCTGGGGTTGGCTGCAGTGCGAGGCCTCACCCAGGGGGGTGGCAGGCGCGCAGAGCTCAGGTGGGCAGCGTATGGGTGTGAGGGGGGTGGGGTATGGGAGCCCCTCCCACACTCCTCCTGCCCCCCCAATGGCACATAGCTCTGGCAGACAGCGGGGACAGCAGCTGCAGTGGGGGGAGGGGCAAGGAAAGCAGCTGACTCCAGTGCCTGGGGCTTCCCTCCTGTGCCCCATGAGTGTGGGGAATGCCAGGGAAACAAATGGCCCAGTAGGGGCTGTGCTCCTTGCTGCAATGTGCAGCACTGGCCAGAGCCAGGCACCACCACCCTCACCTGCTGCTGCGCCATGGGAGCTGGGTCCCCACACCCCTCCTACCCTCCGTCACACCCCACAAGCCCCGCCCACACACACATACCTTCTCTCACCTGCATTGACTGCAGAAGAGGACAACGCGTTTCAGAGACCAATGTGTTCCAGAGCCACACACTCAGACCCCACAAATGCCACACAAGGCCCAACATACCCTATGCCCCCCATGCACAGCCACACCCCCTCACAAAGTCCCCTTTCCACACCCCACCATGCACACACACACCCCCAACACAATATACAGGGCTAAGAATTTATTTTTTAATTATTATGCAATCACCTCTGTATACAGTACACAAACAAATCATGACAAAAATACATTTTGTAATAAAATTAAAATATGTTATAGTAGGTATATGACTTTTAGTGTATACTTTGTTTTTTTCTGGTTCTAAGATGGCAACTCCCCCCTCCCAAAAGGAGTATTTCCAGGGGGCAAGGGAAGGGACTTCTGGTGGCAAAGGTCTGGGGTTAGGGGTGGGATGCCCAGTTCCAAGATAGCAGCCACAGGGTGGGGCACCTGTCAAGAGTTGGAGCTATCCATGCAGCCCTCAATAGCTCAAACCTCATTAAGCAGCCCTCCGCCCGAAATAATTGCCTGCCCCAATCTAGAGGTTCTAAATCTCCAGTGATTCATGGGTGTTAAATTGGCCATGATAAAGTATCTAAAGTTAGAAAGGTTAGAGTTCGAGATTCCAGAATTTTTCACCTCTATCATACAGCAAGGCATTCTGCATACAAGCAGTGTTCATTTTATTTTTCTTAAATATGTATTTGCTGTGGTAAGAAAGACATAGAAGTCTCCAAAGCTTGCAGAATGTACTTTCTTAAAGCTTATTTAATAAGTGTTTTGTAGGTGCTCATTAACACATGGTCAAGTGCTCATCAGAAACCAAATGGCCAAATATCAGGGCTTTTGGAAAATTATCACCCCTTCCTTCCTTCAAGCCATACAATCTGATTTTAAATTAAGTGACTAAACTTTCTACTTCTACTTTGTAGCTCAATTGGACCCACACATTTTCAGGCATGCTATAAGCGTTCAAATGAAAGTCATACTGAAAATGTTATGATATTAAAATAGAATCCAGTAACAAGTATATGTTACAATTAATACAGAGTTTTGTTGTATTAAGTAATATGAATTGAAAAGCATGTCTGCACAGGTATATCAAGAATCAAGGAACACCAATTAGAAATAATCAAGAAAAATCAGAAGCTGCCAGGTTTCTAACACAGTCTCTGCAGTAAGACAACACAGGATGGGGATAATTAAGAAAAAAAACCACTGGTTCTTAATGAACAGGGAAAATATCACCAGCTAAAAAAACCTGGAGGTACTAAAGAAAGAGCAGAGGCAGATTATGAATTGGAGGAGAATGGTTTAAGGAGAAATATATTACCAATTAAATGAAACGGGATAAAATATACTGAAGATACTCATGCTAATTCTATATACTGCCTTCCAGTACTGACTGAATGCTTGATAAAGTGTTTGAGAATACTTTGACTTCAGTGGAGCTGCACTACAGAGCATAGCTGTTTTCTTGCCAATACTGTATAAGAAATAGAATGGAGTTAAAGAAAAGCCTATCCTCAACATGCTAGAAATTGTGCAGTGTATTTATATATCAGATTACTTCTGAACTGTCTTTCCCTACTCTGTTTTATTGATTTTTGCCATACAATATCTAATGTGTTACCTATTCCAATCTATAAATACCCACAGTCAGTATACCAGGTGACAAGCTGATCATTGACATCTATTCCAGTTCAACTTCTAACTGAACCATTTCAAGGAATTGTGTTGCCTGAACACAACAGAAATACTAGCTTACCATGTCTCTACTAAGAACTACTAGTAAAGTTTAGAGCTAAACACAAGTAAGCATGAAATACCAAAAATTCTACATACAGGAAAGAAATCTAGCTTTTGTAAAGAATTAGGCCAGTTATACTCATATTACCCAATTATTTTTCATCTGTTTATACCATCATCCACAAGTGCACTTTGTGCTTCATTTTGAATTTAAGGTCAGTCAAGCACAAAAGACTGACGTCAACTTGGACGAACAACATCCATCTAGGAAGGAAAAAGGTAATTTCCCCTTTCCAAGCCATTTGCAAAATAGTCAGATGGAGAAATTAAGAAACAGTTTGCTAGTGCAAAACTGTACAAGAAAACGTTTACTTTGTCCACATTTTCTAACAATATACAACCAAATTTACAAATTTAATTTAAAAATACATTTTTCTAAAAATTAGAGTTGTCAAACTATTAAAAAATTTGATTGTGATTAGTTGTGCGAGTAAAAAAATTCATTGCAATTAATCACGATTTTAATCTCACAGCTAAAAACTCAAAATTATGCAAAATTATGGAGGTACTTTGTATGGGTGGGGGGGTGGATGTGTGTGGGGGATTTGGAGCCCAGGGGGGTGGGGGGTCCCCTGCACACCCTGGCAGGATGCAAGATACTGTGGGTCCAGAGTGAGGGGAAGCACTGGAGGGGCTATGGCTTGGGATTAAGAGGCGTACACACACACAGTGCTGCGCTGATAAGTCTGTGGAGGGGAAGGAGTGGGGGAAGAGGCAGATCGTGGCCTCCATGG